AAGAAAAAAAATTTTTCTAACAAAACCAAAGCAGGAAAATTCCAGAAATGCAAGCTGGATGCCAAGCCATGGCATGAAAGATACCACTGATGATGTCTGATGGATTTTGGGTGTGGTTTTTTTTAATTTTTATTTTATTATTTTTGTGTGAGTGTACCGTCAAATCAGATCTGACTGGTACAGGAGGAGATTGTCCCTCCTTCCCCGGCAGAGCATCTGGTGGATTCGAACCATGAGCCTCTGGGATTGTAGTTGCAGCTCCTTACCACTAGGCCACCAGAGCTCCCCTGATTTTGGGGGTTTTGTCTTTTTTTTTTTTTTTTTAAGAGTACAAACAGGGGGGATAGGAAAAGAAAAAGGTTTTTTACAAATGGCTTAAGCAATATTCCAGAAAATATCCAGAAAATATCCTCAGAGTACAAGAAAACACTAGGCACGTAGTTCAAATCCACCAAGGGGCTCCACGGAAGGATAAGCAATCTTCTCCCAGGCAATTAACTCCCTCTGAAAACCCACTGGAGGGTCAGGATATGGGTCGGTCCCCACTTGCAGTCACACAACAACGACAACAACAAAATGTAGAATGTCCATCACGAGTATTACCTGAGGGTCCAACGCCTTCTCGCCAGTCTGCAGCCACTGAGAGCGGAAGACCTTCCAGCTTAGGGGGAACAGAGACCACTGTGAGGGCTCTGGCTGGCACGCGAAGCCCCGTCCACTCCGCCCGGCGCTTCCGAGGTTCCCACGCCTACCTGCCCCCACTGTCACAATTGGGCCGGGCGCAGGCGAACACGTGCAGCAGCCGCTGAAACAGGGAGCCTTCGAGCGGGCAGTACACTTGCACTACCAGAGCGAGTAGTTGTCCGCAGCATCTGCATAGCGGCCTCGGAGCTGCTACGGCCGGCAGGGCGTCCTAGGGTGAAGGGAAGCGCTTAGACCCAGACCCTGTCCCAGGAGCTAACTGCCTCCCTCGCCCCCGGCCCCTCCACCGAAACCCTGCCGGGCCTGATCCCGGATGCCCGTCCTCACCGGAACACCGCCTAGCTTGCTATTGGCCCAGGCCCGCGAGCCCGCCGGGCAGTCACGCACTGCATTGTCTCTAAGGCCCAGCAACACCGGCTTTCGAAAAGCCGCCATGAGCACAGAGTGCTCACGTAGGAAGGAGAACTACGGAAGCCGCGGAGATGCGGCTCCGCGCACGCGCAGTATCTGCACCTGCGAGGGTTGATCCGTTTAGGATTTTTTCCCTGCTGATTTGAAGTATAATCTTCTAGGTTGTTTGAGCTAGGTCAGGGAGCTTTTCCTGTCACTGCTCACAACAGTGGAGCCTTAGAATTTTGGAGTCCCAGACATTATCTGTCTCCTAATGTTCTCTGGTGACCTAGTGGCAAGAAGCTCGGCTGCAATCCTTGAAGGCATGCTATTTGAGGCCACCCAGTTGCTCCTCAGGAGAAGGATGGGCAATCTCCTGTACTGCTGCCTTTGAAAACCCACCGGACGGTCAGCCGTGGGTCAGTTCTGCCTCTCTCGTACACAAGAACAACAGTGGTCTCTTCAGTGCACCTTGAACTTTATCCTTCATTACCATTGGCTCATGTTCGTATGATAAATTCTTTTTAGTACAGTGACTCTGTATTCTTTCCATCTTCTTTTGATACTTCCAGAAACATTCAAGATTTTGCCCATTGCATCTCTCCGTGTTTGTTTTACAGTTCTTTCAGTTTGAGAAATGCTGAGCTAGCATTTCTTTTTATTCTCACTACCCAGAACACTTGATTGTACTTATGCGAAAATTATACTTGGGCCAGGAGGCAGTTATCAGAACGGAGCAAGTAAACACTGCATTGTTTAAAATCGCAATGGGTGTACACAAGAGTTGTGTCCTGTCTCCATACCTTTTCAATCTATATGTAGAATAGATCATCCGGGAGACTGGGCTCTATGAAGAGAAACGTGGCATCAGGATTGGAGGAAAACTACTTACCAAGAACCTGCACTAGGCAGTTGGCACAACCTTGCTTGAAGCACTTGCTGCAGAGGGTCAAGGACTGCAGCCTTCAATATGGATTGAAGCTCAAAATCAAGAAAACAAATATTATAACATTATTAGCATGAGCATCATGATAGATGAAGAGACTGAGACAACTTAAGTTCATTTGGCTGCACAATCAACACTGTTGGTACTAGCAGTCAGGAAATCAAAAGACGAATTGCATTGGGAAACTGCTGTAAGGGACATCTCTAAAGTAATGAAGAGCAATGATGTTAGACTGGAGATTAAGGTGTGTCTGACACAGGCCACGGTCTTCACAGTTAGTGCTATGCATCAGAAACCTGGACAATGACTAGAGATGATAGGAGGAGAATTGATGCCTTTTAGCTGTGGTGCTGGAGAAGAGTATTGAATATACCATGGACTGCTAAGAGAACCAGACTGCTCATTGGCGGCAAGGATTCTGAAGCTCTGTCTAACATGTTGCAAAAGGACCAGTCCCTGGAAAGGGACTCGGGAGCGGGGAGGGACAGTTCAGGAGGGGAAGACCTTGATGAGATGGATTGACTCAGTGTAATGGCAGTAGGTGTGTCAGGGATGATGAGATTGGCTCAGGATAGAGCAGAGTTTAGAGCTATTGTACATAGGGTCACTGTGAGTCAACAGCAACTTGATGGCACATAACAATAACAAAAGTTTGCACATTTCTGTACTCAGTGTTTTGTCTTCCAAACTGCCCTTTGAAATTTTCTGTTTAACTCTTTTGCTTTGACATCTCTTCCTGTTGTTCATTTCTCAACTTTTTAACATAATTTTCATAGGCTCTTCTGAGATCTATTTTGGTTTTTCCTTTCTCCTCTGACTTTGTAAGAACCTTTTGCTCTATTTGTAAATGTTAATAACCTTGATGCCATTCAAGCAGCACTGAAGGCATTGGCAAAAAATAAGGCCTTAGCCTCCCAAAACTGAAGGCAAATCAAAGGCATTAAAGGCCAAGAAGGCAGCCAAAAAATAAAAAAGAAGATCCGTATGTCACTCACCTTCCGGCGGCCTAAGACGCTGAGACTCCGAAGGCAGCCCAAATACCCCCGGAAGAGCGCCCCCAGGAGAAACAAGCTTGACCACTATGCCATCATCAAATTTCCGCCGACCACTGAGTCAGCTATGAAGAAGATAGAAGATAACAACACACTGGTGTTCATTGTGGATGTCAAAGCCAACAAGCACCAAATTAAACAAGCTGTAAAGAAGCTCTATGACACTGATGTGGCTAAGGTCACATCTTGATTAGGCCTGGTGGAGAGAAGAAGGCCTATGTTCAACTTGCTCCTGATTATGATGCTTTGGATGTTGCCAACAAAATTGGGATCATCTAAACTGAGTCCAACGGGCTAATTCTAAATACAAATTTTTCTCACCATAAAAAAAAAGTAATGGTGGTCATTTTTGCTATTATCATGTTAGTACTTGATTTACTATGGGGTTCTGTTCCTAGGACTTTGTGTTGTCCTGACATAAGTTGTATATCTTTTTTTTTTTTTT